CTAGACCGTTGTGGAGTCCTGCCTCATGTTATGTTGGGGGGGGGGGTACTGGGTCAATATTACATAGAAAACATAATGAATTTGATTGAATGGTCCAGTTACAGTGAGGGGGTGAGGGGGTGAGGAGGGGGAGGAGGGTCATCAGCCCACAGCTCCAGTGAAGGTTGATGTTTTTATTATTATAACTGACTGGAGGTGAACGCTGCAGCTGTGCTGACGGTGACGTCCGTTAATAACACAGTTATTATCCTGTAACGACAGATTCAACGTCAGTCCAACTGATCCCACAGAGGAATAAAGGAGTGTTCCAAAGTGTTACTACTAAACACCTGTTCCATCACTGTCCTGATTGGTCGGTCACGTGATGCGTTTGTGTCTTCTCCAGAGATCGTCCGGGCCATGACGTACGTCATCAACCAAGGAATGGCGATGTACTGGGGCACGTCTCGATGGACGGCCATGGAAATCATGGTGAGCTGGTGGTAGACCACGGTCTACAGTACTGCAGTACTTCACAGTACAATACTGTAGTCTGTGGATACGATACGTATCACCATACCAACCCCCCCCCAAACCCCCAGCTCCGTCATCAATGTCATGTGATCAAGAGCAGGAAGTGTAGATGTAAATGTCACATGACCTCAAACGTTTCTCCTGCGGAGCCGCCCTGATCTGATTTGCTGTTCCTCTGTCTCACCTCCAGGAGGCGTACTCTGTGGCCAGACAGTTTAACCTGATCCCCCCCGTCTGTGAGCAGGCCGAGTACCATCTCTTCCAGAGGGAGAAGGTTGAAGTGCAGCTTCCTGAGCTCTATCACAAGATTGGCAAGTTAAACGACAGTCAGAACGCCGCCGCCGCCGCGCGATTCTGACGGTTTTTCTTCTTCGTTTTTGTCTCTGAAGATGAAACGTATTCATGTGTTATTACAGCGATCCCGTCTTGTGCTATTCTGAGTCATTTTGACGCTCTGCCCTGTGACAGGGGTCGGAGCGATGACGTGGTCGCCGTTGGCGTGTGGCGTCATCACAGGGAAGTATGAAAATGGTATTCCTGAGTCGTCCAGGGCTTCCATGAAGGTACGGAAGTTCACAGAGACGGAGACGGGATTTAAACACCTGACAGTTGTTCATTACAACCACAGAGAAGATCAAGGTTTGTTCCGTTTCTCCAGTCGTACCAGTGGCTGAAGGAGAAGATCGTCAGCGATGACGGCAGGAAGCAGCAGGCCAAGCTGAAGGAGCTGAACCACATCGCTGACAAGTTGGGCTGCACGCTGCCTCAGCTGGCCGTGGGTGAGAACGCTGCAGGAGCGCTGGGACGGCACACGTCATGTGACAACGTTTGACAGGAAGTGGTCGTTACTTCAACGTAGTTCTAGTCCTAGTTAATAGTTACCTAGTTATTATGACCTGACACTGACACTGACCTGAACTGACACCGACTGAAAGAACAATATTCGATTTTCACAGTAAAATAATTGTCAGTGAACTTCTGTCCTGAAGAAGTATTTCTGTGTGTAGTGTGACGTCAGCAGGTTCAGAGACCAAATCCATGAACCAGAGCAAAACGGAAGGTTTTCTGTGATTAGTGCTAGACGAAGAGTTGCAGCATTGCGCCATCTTGTGGCCATTTTGAGAACCTCGGTCTGTCGTTGTCTCCACAGCCTGGTGTCTCAGGAATGAAGGCGTGAGTTCGGTGCTTCTGGGAACGTCCAACCCCGAGCAGCTGACGGAGAACCTCGGGGCGATTCAGGTGTGAACACGTGACCTACAGCTTTTCACCGTCTTTGTCTTTAGAGTTAAGAACGTGCTCCTCATCCCATCATCTCCTCCTCCTCCTCCTCCTCCTCCTCCTCTCAGGTTCTTCCTAAGATGAATTCACACATAGCGACTGAAATCGACCACATCCTGGGCAACAGGCCGTACAATAAGAAGGACTACCGCCCCTAGATGGCGCTGTTGTTTCTCTGCCCTTCTTCACCACACCATCACCAAGTGTCCAAAGTCCTGGGTCTGTCCTCCTCAGACCCTGGTCACATCCCGTCCTCCTCAGACCAGGTTCATCTCAGGTCCAGTCCAGCTCCACCCGTCTCTCCTGGTTCTTCACAGCCTAAAAACCCAAACATCTCAAACCGTGTGAATCCAAACCTTCTTTTTTTCCCACCTGTTGAAACATTGACTATGCAGCGTTTCTTTTGACACACTGAACCACAGCCTTATTAACCTAAAGCACACGTCTCCCTTCATGGCCACACAGTACCTCAGTACCAGCAGTATTTGTCTCACTTCAGTCCCTCCACTCAGTAAAGCATGAGCTGCTGGTTAACTCACGGTAACTAGCAGTTAACTGGTTAATGCATGAACGGACTCCTTTAATCCAGAGGTGTTTGACAGTGGAGGCGCTGGTGTGTTGATGTAACCAGCGCCCCCTGCAGTGCAGTGAACACTGCACCTCTGTGGAACACTGCATGACGTAGAACGTTTAACAAACGTACGGCGGCCTGTGCAGCCAATCAACTAACCTTTGACCTTTAATGACTTGACCACAGATTTGCATCATTCAAAAACAGAACCGTTCATATTAAAGGCTGCGAACCCTGAGTTTAGAACCGGACATGTGCATGAAGAACATTGTTCACCGTCCTGGAGCCTCTACGAAGCAGGGAATTGTGGGATTATCAGCATGTGTGGCGTTAATGACGCCTGTTGGTCACATGTGGTACTGCAGGTGTGAGGAGAGTCTATCCAAGGAACGAGGGTTCGATTCCCAGCCTGCTGCTTCATGACCCAGTACAGCACGTGGTTCAGACACCAGGGACGATAAAAGTATTTATTGTAGAGTAGTCAAGAAATATCAAATTTATTTTGACATTTTTTGTTTGTCATGTATATAAATGTTAAGGAACTCTGACGAAGCTGTGTCAGACGACACCGTACTGTAACCACCAAATATAAATAAGCTGTAAATAGAGTTATTTTCATGCTCCTCTGTAGCGCCCCTACAGGACATAGGTTGCAGTGTTTGAAGTTCACCTCCAATAATCTGCTCCAGAGTTGATTTAATCTTTGATTTATTTTTTAATAGTTCAGTCAGTGTTTTAGGAGTTAGCCAATGACGTTCCCTGGATTCTTTTCTGGAAGACAAGCCATCCCAGGAATCAGCTGGCCCGTTGGCTGAGTTCCCATTGGCTGTAAGTTTGACCTTTGACCTTGGCTCTGGTTGATTCTAATCAAAGGACGTTTCAGCAGATCACAGCCACGTGTTTCTGACGGAGACACCAACACTGATCTGTGGTTGGTTCGTTACTCATCTGAACGACAGCCTCGTGTCCTGACCCCCCCCCCCCCCCCCCCCGTCTGTGATGCAAATGATTAGAGAAACACTGTCCACAAACATCCAGGAAAATGTTTGCCTTAAATAGATGTTCATTAAATCTATTTATCTCTATATTTAATGTTTTGTAATAAAACATCAACATATATGTAGTATGTTTAATGTACTGCAGTAGTACCCGACCATCTGTGTGTTTATTTATACTATATATTCTACTTTAACCCTTTAGGAGAAGAGAAAAGTGACGCCGACGCAGCATAAACACCTGCTCGCTTTTATTTATTTGTTACAAAAACACAGAGGACGAGACCTGAGGAAACGTCTGGAGACATTTGATCGTGGATTTCATGAGGCTGAAATGTGAAACTCACTTCCTCTTCAAAACCCCAGTCCTTCCTCATTAAAAATACCCCCCCCCACCCGAGCCCCCGGTCATTATCTATCATCATCATCATCATCATCATCTCTTCAGCTGCCGTTACTTGGAACCAGTGGAAAGCAGAGCGATGAGTCCTGAGGATGCACTGATGGACAGGATGTAGTTACTGTGGGGGGGTTAAGGCAAACACAGAGAGAGTTCTGGAAATAAACATTCTCATTTGGAACGATTAAAAAGCAGAGTCTAAAAATGTGTAGAAAAAGCATTTGTTCCGAGTGAATTGTGGCTGAAAGGATACACAGTTGGGTGGAAGGACTTCGAGCAGGAAGAAGGAGGCGACGATGATGAGGACCAGGAAGAGGGTGTTGTTGTAGAAGATGGAGAAGGTGGTGGCCTCGTAGTCGGCGACCTCATTCTTCTTCCACAGGATCCTGGACCAGAAACTACATGTAACTCTCCACCTCTCCACCTCTGACCTAACCTCCACCTAACGAAGCAGCACGCTCACCTTTCATGTGTGTGTGTGTGTGTGTGACAGCACGGATAACGAAGCAGCACGCTCACCTTTCGTCCTTCTCTTTACGGGACATCTTACGGTTGTCCGCCTCAGACAACTTCCTGGTCACCTCCTTGGAAACAGCGTCCTCGCGCTTCTGGGCAACTCTGACAAACAAAGAATCAGGTCGTGTTTACTTTAACAGGACAGGCCAGGGATTCAATATATATATTTATATGGACTATGGCAATAATAAAATGTATTCAAATATATTGAAATAATAAGCACACAGCAAAGGGAAATACGTTAAAAAAAACACAGTCTGTTTGAGCTGCACTTACTTGTGTTTCAGAACAAACTTCACGTTCTTGTAGGCAAAGGCCACCAGGTAGGTGCTGACCAGAGTCATGACGGCGTACAGGACCGCGGACTGGACCAGGTCCATGTGCCAAATCCTCCAGAACAGCCCTGCGACAACACAGTGGAGTCTTTTAAACAACATTACACATATAACACTGTGTGTTTAGCCACAGCTCATCAGTTTAGATAAGGAGTGTGTGGTAACGTTAGCCTGTTAGCACAACAAAGGCTCTACAACCCACTATTGTTTCACAAACACGTCTGCAAAACGTGCTTAAATGTATGTTTACTGTCGTTTAGCAGATCGGTCCACAATTAAAACCATCGAGTTAACTCTATTTCAGTGAATCAGTCTCTGTTAGCTGGGCTAGGCTAGGCTAGGCTAGGCTAACCTGAGAGCAGCCAGAGTCAGTTACTCACAGATGGGGATGGCAGACACTATGAGAGCATTTCCGTAGAACAGAGCGGTGGATTTGGCAGAAAGGTTTCTGCTGAAGTCCTGGAGGAGCAGGTCCTCCTCTGACTGCTGCTTGTTGTTGCCTTTAGGAGCCATGACAGTGGAACAACCGCCTTCTGCTGCTCAGCTCTGGACACAAGGAGACTGACACGTCGCTGTGGACGGAGAAAAGACAGAGAGGGACGCGTCAGCACAAACCCGGAAATACGTCACCAACGCTGACGCGAGAAAAGGGGACGTCTGTAGTGTTTGTTGCCCTCTACAGGAAGACTTGACAAATTACGTCCGACCTCTTCGTCGATATTTGTGCTTTATTTGTGTTTATAAATATATATATTTTTTGCATTTTCTTATCTGAATAGAGATGTCGTCATTGTTCTGGACAAAATGATCATTTTAAAAATGAATACGGCTTTTACACCAGCGCTGTTTGTTCTCTTTTTTGTCAAATAACTATTTTTATTTTGCCAATTTGCTTTACGTGAAACTTTTATTTTCTAAAAAACATTATTATTTCTATTTGCTTTATGTGAAACTTTTATTTTCTCTCATACTTACCCTAAAAAACATTATTATTTCTGGAAGTTTCTTCAGTTGAAGCAGTAAGTTCTATGTACGTGAATTTAAGCAGAACGGCAGGTTTGTCCTTTCAGCTGGATAATTCTTCAGTTTATCCGTTAGAGGGCAGCACATACGCGTGTTAGCGTTTCTCTGCAGACATCCGGTTGATTTACTGAGACCCAGACCGTGGTTCTCCATCTGCAGGACTTCAATCATCAGAACCATAAACGATGACGTAAAGTAAGATCGTGTCTTCGTTCTCCAGCCGGTTGTTCTGTAGAATTATAGAAATAAAAGAGTTAAATTATAGCGAACTTGTGTCAGCTGATAATATT